CCAAAAAGGCCCATTATCAAATTCTGTGTCATTATCACACTGTATATTTTTTATGTCTCGTTCAAATTGAGTTCGGATGAGGGATTTGAAATTTAAAAATGTGGAATAAGTTTGTGATTTTTGCGATAAAGGAAATATCCACAAAAATTTAGAATAATCATCCACAAATAAGACATAATATCTATGACCCGATGAACTCAAAACAAGTGACGTCCAAAGATCACTATGGAAAATATCAAATGGCATAATAGTGCAAGAATTTGAAGCATAAAATGACAACTTAACATGTTTTCCAAGAGGACATGAATGGCAAATACGAGAAACCTTAATTTGATTATATTTAATCAATTTATTCTTCCTAAGGGAGGTCAAAACAGGGGATCCCGGGTGACCCAAACGATCATGCCAAAGAGATGGTGCTACGGTAGCAAATGTATATGAATTTGTAGGCTTGATGATGGGATAAAGCTCGCCCCGACTCTCACACCTCATTACTAGCTTCCCCATCTGAAAATCCTTCACAAAAAATCCAAAGGGATCAAATTCAACAGAAATAAAGTTAATAGTTGTAAACTTTCTAACTGACACCAAGTTTTTAACAAGTTGAGGAGCATGAAGGACATTGTTCAGTGTTAAGGGAAGACACGGGAAAGACAATTTGGTGTGACCATAGTCATGAATTGGAATTGAATGACTGTTACCAACAATTATACCATGTTTGTTGCTCATATTAAAATAATACGTGAGGTTACCTTGTGCGGATGTCATGTGAGAAGTAGGACCAATGTCCATGTACCAATTTGCATCTGGAGGATTGATGCCGAGAGTATGCATTGTGACTTCTATGTATGTTGGAGTTGGTGCTAAAGTGTAGGCTTGCGGAGGTCTGGGCCCAAGTACACTAGGCTGTTGACGCTGTTGCTGTCCAAATTTGGGCCTGGCCCATGAATTAGAAGGGTACGGACAAGGAGGTATAGCCCATGGAGCCATCCACTGCCAAGGCCACAGTTGTCCGCCAGGCCATCAGTCAGCAAGCTCCGGCCAATGTCCCATGGCCTGGCGGACAACTGTGGCCTTGGCAGTGGATGGCTCCATGGGCTATACCTCCTTGTCCGTACCCTTCTAATTCATGGGCCAGGCCCAAATTTGGACAGCAACAGCGTCAACAGCCTAGTGTACTTGGGCCCAGACCTCCGCAAGCCTACACTTTAGCACCAACTCCAACATACATAGAAGTCACAATGCATACTCTCGGCATCAATCCTCCAGATGCAAATTGGTACATGGACATTGGTCCTACTTCTCACATGACATCCGCACAAGGTAACCTCACGTATTATTTTAATATGAGCAACAAACATGGTATAATTGTTGGTAACAGTCATTCAATTCCAATTCATGACTATGGTCACACCAAATTGTCTTTCCCGTGTCTTCCCTTAACACTGAACAATGTCCTTCATGCTCCTCAACTTGTTAAAAACTTGGTGTCAGTTAGAAAGTTTACAACTATTAACTTTATTTCTGTTGAATTTGATCACTTTGGATTTTTTGTGTAAGGTGCTCTTTGCACCAAGGTCTTGATCGTCAAAATGCCAACCTTAAAGTCCTCTTCGCACCAAGGTTTTGATCGTCAAAATTCTAACCTTAAGGCGCTCTTCACACCAAGGTCTTGATCGTCTAAATTCCGACCTTAAAGTGTTCTTTTGCACCAAGGTCTTGATCGTTAAAATGCCGACCTTAAGGTGCTATTCACACCAAGGTGTAGATCGTCTAAATTCCGACCTTAAAGTGCTCTTCACACCATGGTTTGGGTAGTCAAAATGCCGATCTTAAAGTGCTATTCACACCAAGGTTTTGATCGTCAAAATTCTAACCTTAAGGCGCTCTTCACACCAAGGTGTAGATCGTCAAAATTCCGACCTTAAAATGCTATTCACACTAATGCTATTCTGAGCGCAGCAGATAGCTACCGCTGCCGGCCACCGACACGTGGCGAACAGCCTTTAGGCCCAAGCCGGCTCCGGTGATTTCGATGAGTTGCGGCGAGAGACAAGTTCACGCGCTCCGCTCCTCGCGGATCGGTGCCGGGGTTTGGAGGAGAAGCAGGCCAAGTCAGGGAGCAGATCTCCACCCTTGCGTTTGATCTCGTGGACGGGGCTGTGGACGTCTTCGACGTCGGGGGCGTAGGTGGAGGGGACTCGACCCGGATCTGTGAGAATGGAGGCGCGGTAGGTGAGGGCGCAGGCAGCGGCGAGGGCGATGAAGGTGGCGGCGTTCATGATGCTAGGGGAGGAGAGGAGGCCGAACCAACGGTCGATGAAGACGAAGACGGTGGAGACGTGAATGAAGGCGATGCCCAAAACGACGACGCCTACGAGGGGCGAGAGCGCGAAGGAGGGCTTCGTTTTGTCGGCGGAGGCCATGTTGGAGTGAGGAGGAGGAGGCGCCGGCCCTGGCGAAACGACGACGTCTCCGGGAATGCGGAAAAAGAGAGGACGCTGGGTCAGTGCGTGCGTTCGTTGGAAGATCCTCGTTCCTTCTTGTTGCCTTTATACTTATGCTATCCTCATGGCATCTCCTTTACGCCTTTTGGTTGACCTCGATCATACCTATGCCTCTTTTTTCTCGATAGTTTTTATTGCTCCTTAGTAACCTATGCATCGTGACGTCCCGATCACACAAGGCAACCAAGGTGTGGGATGCAGTTTTACCTGCCCCACGGTGGGCGTCAAAATATTCCGGTATTGGAGACCGCCGCCGAAGAACCCTTAGCGATATCAAGCTAAAAGAACTTGACAACAGTCTTGACCTAGAACATTTGATGAAAGTAACATACTTTCTTAGACCTAATCATTGCTATATATAATGGTGTAGCGTTACAAACATGAATCGCACACTCCTCTTTATGATCTCATAAATCACGTCCCATTGTGGACTCGTAACTCCCAGTATTTATTACCGTTCCCACGGATTGTGGGATCTTATTGATTGTCTGAGTGAGCTAGTGAATCTTCCCATATTTGGGTCCCTATTATGGGCTCGGCATTTTATCGATGTGCCTCAGGTCGGCCAATGGGAGACCACCACGGTACATAGCCCTCTATGCTCAAGCACTAAAGTGCGAAGAGCATGTTGGGTCGGTATTGCGTAAGTTCGGTTTGATTGATTTTTGGGGGACCTCCATGGTGCATTTTGTCAATGTGCCTCGGGTCGGCCAATGGGAGACCACCACGGTATAGTATTAATTAATGTTTTAGATCCTTCCATAACTCACAAATGTTTTTTTTCTTTCTAAAATCGTGACACGGCCTATGAAATTTTAGTAATAACCTTTCTCTCTCATATTAAACATATCTATTCAATTCATGTTAAATTCATTATTTGTTTTTACTATTTTATTAAATATACCCTGTGAGGAAAGAAAATAACAAGAAAAACGAAAAAAGTACATATAATAAATAGTATGAATTATATGATAAAAGTATTTTGTTAAAAAAATATAGTAGTATAAAATACTAGGTGTGAAAAAAGGGAAGAGAAAGTGTTTGTATAAGCCTCTGGATTCTTAAAATTTGAAATAGATAAAAATCAAAGTGTCGGCGCTCTACCCTGACAGAGCAGAGATTTGGTTAGGAGTGAGGAGTTAGGACTTAGGACAAAGCACACTGGCACTCACTCATCTGGGTACAAAACCTTTCAAACTTTAAATATTAATTACGATAATCATATAGTAGTAGTAATAGTATTGAGAAATAAAATATCCAAGTTTAGAAATGAAATGGGCCATGGAGTGGGTTGAGACTGGAGAGAGGTAAGGTAATTATTGACTTTGGAGTCAAGCAAATGCAACAACGAAAATGATTATGAAACTAATACTTATAGTTACGCTGTCAGGTGTCATTCAGCCATGAAAATCAAGAAAGCTCAAAATAATTACTTAATTATTGCATGTCAATCGTCTTGCAATACTATAGTCTGCCAATACCATCTGATTTTGACCAAATGCAAACTCCACATTTCTTTTGGTCACATACGTTCCCTTTTCATTCGTTTAGTTGAGTAGAGTCGGTACATACTCCATTTGTCTTACACTCTTACCATCACTTTTATAATTGGAAAATACTGAAATGCTATTACAAAAGAACATGCAAATGCGCTTGGCTGCCTAAACTTACAAAAAAAAAAAGATGGACCTTCCTCTTCCTGATATAGAGTTTGAGCCAGTTGAATTTTTGAATAAGAACGATCTTATTGCAAATGATAGTCACTTACAAGCATTTACATACATGTAGTCTTAGCTAAGAGCTAAAAACATGCAATACTTAATATTTACACTTTTGATTAAATAAAAATATTTTAAAAAATACATTCATATTTCTTTATTTATGTTTTTAACTCATAAGATAAAAAAAAAAAAAAACATTGAAAATAAAACACGGAGAAAAACGTATGGCCATAAGATCCCGGGGCTCCGTAGATCAAGTAGTCAATTCAATGCAAGTCTTTATCTTCATTCTTCAACCATATATTTGCGTTTCAAATTTTTTGTCTCTAGCGTATTATATTACACATTTGGCCAATTTAATCCAAGTCGAGTAAAATTATCACACATGACAATTTTCTTTTATTAATATAACTGTAGATATAATAATTCCAACTTAAAATTAGTATCGAAGTTAGAACAATTCTGTGTTAGTCAATTTACCCGCAGTAGTTTTGAATTTTTCTGTTTACTATAACTGACAGAAGAAGAAGAAGAAAAAAAAAAAAGGAGTGTGAATGGTTGTTATAAATAGAAAAAGATGGAAAAGGAGTGGACCCAAGATTACCGAGAGTTCACTCAACTGAATCACATGTTACGAAGGAAAGAGCGTGTGACGTGTGTAAGTAAGATAAGCAAAATTACTGGACACAACACAATACAAGACAGCACACAAATCTTGACCTGGCTTGGGTTTCAAGTCTTATAAAATTAACAAGAGGTTGTTAGATTAGGATTAGTGATAGACACTGGAGAGAGGAGAGTGGAGAGAGAGAATAAGAGTAGAAATCGAAATTAAGGAAATAAAAAGGAAAATAAAAAAAGAGAAGAGATTGGAATATTGGTGAGGTGGAAGCATCGAGTTTTGGTTCTGGGTACCTATCTCTTCTACTCACTCTTCTCTTTTCTCTCTACAAAGCTGCTTCTTCTCTCAACCCCTTCCTCTCATCTCATATTTTCAATCCCGCAATTCCCACTCACATTTTACATATTTTTTTAATTATCAAAATTAAAATGTCCGACCCAACCTCCAAACCCAACGGAAACGGCGCGCCCGCCACCAACGGCAACGCCGGCCCCGTCAAGTCCCAACTCTACAACCCCAACCGTCAAGTTTACCGCCCGCAGTCGCGCTACCACGGGCGCCGCCGCTCCCACCGCAACCTCTGCTGCTGCTGCTGCTTCTGGACCATCCTGGTGGTGCTCGGCGTGGCGCTCCTCGCCGCCATTGTCAGCGCCGCACTGTACGTACTGTACCGTCCCCACCGCCCTGAATTCTCCGTGACGAACCTCCGCATTGCGAGGATGAACCTGACGACGCCGTCGGACTCGCCCTCGCACCTCACCACGCTCTTCAACCTCACGCTCATCGCCAAGAACCCCAACAACCACCTCGTCTTCTTCTACGACGCATTCTCCGTGACGGTGTTCTCGAACTCCGTCCCCGTGGGAAACGGCTCCGTGGCGGCCTTCTCCTCCGACAAGAACAACCAGACGAGCCTCCGCGCGGTGCTCTCGGGGTCGCAGGATCTGGACACGGACTCCCTGAGCAGCGTGAGATCGGGTCTGAAGATGAAGAAGGGTTTCCCCGTTCAGATTCAGATGGACACCAAGGTGAAGATGAAGATGGACTCGCTCAAGAGCAAGAAGGTCGGAATCAGAGTCACCTGCGACGGAATCAGAGGCACCGTTCCCGCCGGCAAGACTCCCGCGGTTGCATCCGTCGTCGACTCCGAGTGTAAGGTCGATCTTCGAATCAAGATCTGGAAGTTCTCCTTTTAAAAATGCAACTCTTTTTCATTCATTATTATTGCTAAATTCGTTATTATTATCATCGATCCACATCAATCTCAATAATCAATCCCTTCTCTCTCTCTCCCTCTCTTTTTCATAATTTCCCTGGGGGATGGATTGATTATGATTATGGTTACTTTACTTATCATGCAATGTGCTCGAGTTTCTTAGAATGTGGTCAGAAGGTGAAATTTGTATTGGCGAAAAAAATGAATTTTGAGCTTGTATTCTTGTAATATGAGGAGATATAGGGCAGAAGGCCCTAAGTTTAGTTTTTTTTTTCTTTTTTTTTTAATTTGTCATTGTAGTTTGTTGCTGCAATTTGTTTCAAAGTTCTTACAGTAATGCAACTGAAAATTAATACATGTGGGTTTTGAAATCTTACTCCTCCTCTGTGTTTGTGTTAGATCTCTGTTTAGTGGATCCCTGATCTACCGAACATGATTGAATGAGATTCTGTACATTGGTTTGAGTGAATCAGAATAATACACGGTGTAAAACAATTAAGTAACCCAAAAAAAATGGAAACGAGGGAATTATATATTATTTTGCTTCTTCACTTAGCAATAAATAAGTTATATATGTTTCTTTATTCTAAGTTTAAAATATAATAAAATTAGAAAAATTAATGAATGTATAAAAACTTTTTATATCATCCATAAATCGTAAATAATCTTTAATATAAAATTTAAAATAATTATTATGAAAACCAATAACAACATTGAATATATGATTCATAATTAGATGAAAATTATATTATCAATATATTTTGATTAAATTTAAAATTTAAAATAATAAGAAATAACATCGTACATATATAATTTCACCTTTTATCATACGCTTATAACTCGTGTAACTTTACATATTTAATTTTATGACTCTAGGTGAAATGAGAATGTGAGATGTAATTTAATATTAGATATGAGGTTAGGCGTGTAAAAATAAATTTTGAAAATAATAAAATTTACAACGTGTGATCTAGTCTTTTGTCCCCAACAAACTTCGATGTCTAACAATCGAAGTCCTAAACCAGAGAGAGAGAGAGTAAAGGGTTGTTTTGGCTAGTACGGGCATGGGAATATATGTAAGAATATAACGAGGAAAATGACTTTACGAAGATGAGTGATTTGAAGGTGCGCTGTGTAAGATTTTCTCACAGACTGAGAAGTTTCGAGCAATACAATACATGGTACTGGAATTGATGCAAATGAAATGCGTTAGATCAGGTTCAGTTCAGGTGCTGTGCTATCTTTCTAAATTCTGAAACGTGTCCCACCCAATTGCCACTCCCACTTCTCTTCTGTCTCCACTGTTAAACGTGGTTACTCTGTTTAATCGTTATTACTGTGCACTTAACTGATAAACCAACAACTAAAAAGAGCTCATACTTTTTTGACCTTCAATTAACAACAAAGATATAGACAAGTACACAACACGAACAGTGTATTGCTAGGTTTATAAGTTAGTTAATGATTGCATCATCGCTCGCAACTTTAATTTACTCGCGTGTAGTTTGAGTGAGACTTTGAACTTTGAAGGTGATCCAAGTAAGAGAAAAGATGTAGCACAACCAAAATCTAGAATAAGTGGGGTGCTCGGTTTTTTAAAAGTTTTTTATTATTCTTATCTTTTTCTATCACAATTTTTACTTTTTTCATCTCGGGGTGTGAGAAAAATCATAACTCCAATTTTATTTGGGGCCAAAGCAGAGATCCCAAAAAAATTGTGCTAATGGATCTGAAGGCAATGGGTGGTGGGTGATGGGTTCTTTAAAAGCTTTCTATTTTCTACCCTTCCTATGGGTACCTATCTCTGCCGGGGAAATCCCAATTTCCCTCCCAAAGCACATGTGAAGATTGGGATTAGATCCTATGGACCTACCTCCAACATTGTGATCGTAAACAATTTAAGAAAACATCATAAAAATGAGCGAGACACAAGAAACATAGAAGGAGAAAACAAGTTCTCTAAATACTAAAAAAAATAAGTGATTTTCATTTATCACCATCAAGTGAAGTGCATGATAGTGATACTGGTGTCTTAATTTAGGTGCACGTGGTTATCATGGTTCTTACTCGGTCTAGTCGGCAAGACAGTTAGATCTATACATCTTCCCATTCTTTTTCTCAGTTTCTGCCCCCTTTCCCCGTACTTTTGCTTTCCTGCTACTTGCATACAATTAGTATTATATCAATTAGTATTAGTATTAAGTTTCAAAGTTCATATTTTTAAGATAATATCAAAATTTATTTTAAAAATTATTGTTAAAATTATCGGATCATCTTATTAAATTATTTATAAATACCTAATTTTACAAATTTGATATTAAAAATAAAAAGTGTCGTACACATTAACCGGTGATAAGTTCCTAACACACTTTAGAATAGATAGTGGTATAATACGATTATGATGTGTGATATGACCTAATTTCCTACCTAGAATATAATTGCGTGTCCCCGATACAATTTGTCAATGACACTAATTAATTCAACCACGTGAACCCATTCGAAGAGGAAGCGAATCCGTTTTCTCAAAGTCACAAGTAAAGGGCATATCATATGTATCCAATTTCAGAACCGAAAGTGATCTTGAGAGAGTGACATGATGTTGTAGTTCTGATTCTCGGGAAGGCTGCGTGCTCCAAAGTATCAAATTTATGTTGATGCGATGCTTGTTGTTTAGTTTGTATTTTTGTGACACGCATTTAATTTGAGCATCGTAAGAAATGATAAATGGGAAGGAGAGTGGTCGTTTTGACGATTATGACCTTAGAGCTAGAGCAAAGAATGACAAGGCTTGTGGATGAATGGTCAAGGCAAATGATTTGGTGCTACATGGTCAAATAAATGATTGAAAGCATTGTTTCTGCTGCATTATTGAACAGCTAGCTTACGAATTACGATCAAAGAAACAAATTTCTGATGTCTTTCGCTTGAATATAGGGATATTTGGCTACCCAGTGTTAGAATTGCATTTTTGGACTTCAGATAGAACTAGATGGGGGCTGTATTATAATTTCCTCAAGAATGTAACCTTAATCAGCAACATGACACTGAGGCATAAAGAAAAGTATATCAACTATAATTCACGTACCTATATATCCTCAGTAGCTGCTTTTATAATCAGTAGTGTTATTCAATTATCTGTTTTGGTCTTCTCACTCGGTTAAAAGTTTGACTGCATCATTGAATTCCATATATAAAATTGAGTTTCTTAAAATTAATTAATTAATTACGAAAATGAATAATGTTGAACAACTGAATTATTGGTGTTTTGTTTCTTCTTTCCTAATTACCAGGCTTTGCTGGCTCCAGCATAGGAAGGTGGAATTCCTAATTACGATTTAGTTTAATATACTGTTTAAACTTAATCATATAATCAATAATAAACATATATTAATTTTTGGTGAGGAAAAATAAATATATTATAATGGTATAAATTATTATTTGTTTGATTCTGATCATTTATTTAAAAAATATATTTTTCTTAATTGCATATATTTTAACTTTAGATATGTTAAAATAGGTATTTTGTTTTTTTTCAAAAACATATAATTATTAGCTTTTTTAAACATATTTTCTTAAGTTTGATTTTACTTGAGGGAATCAAATTCGGTATAAAAAGAATTTACAATAATTCACATATTAAACTTAAGTGATTCATAATGCTTTTTTTTTTCTTTTAAAGAACATAGGTGTACGTGTTGCCCAGTATATATTTGCTTTGAAATCAAAGCATGCCACACTTCTTGCAAATATTAAATGAATCAAATTGACGAGAGAAAAATAATAATGGTATACTCCATTTTGGGTGGAGTGGAGTGAAAGGAAGAGAGATCCATAAGAATAAAAAAGAGAAAAGTAAAGAGAGAAAAAAAGAGTAATATATATATATGATATGATTAAAAAATGAAAGTTTTTTTAAGAGAAAAAGATGAAGTTTTTTTAATATTACAAAATACCTTTTTAAAAACTCATGTTCTTGAAAATATAGTCTTTATTTCTTGGGGGAGAAAATCAAAATAAAGTAAGTCTACTTAAATTTTTTAAAAAATTAAATTCTTATAACCCTTGGACCGTCGCTAATAATGACTCTTATACGGATTCTTATAAATTAATGAGAACATGTTCTTATGAGTTCATACTATTGGAGTTTGCTCGTATGGTTTCCAAAGTGTATAAGCGATTTTATATAAAGGCTCTTATATAAGAATTGAGTTATTAACATAAAATTATTTTGCTTGTCTAAACAAACAAAAATATATTTAGATGTGTGGTCCATTATAATTTATAAGACCCATTTTAATTCTAATTTTTTTAACCATAATTCAAGTTCCATATATGTGGAACCACATGAGCCTCAAAAACATCGAATAAATTCCTATCTACACACTTCAATTGGACAATATATATGTATCACCAGTCAGTACTAGCTAGCACCTTGATTTGACCGCGAACTGCCCTGAGATTCATCTGTTTTCTGCTGCTTCTGTGACCTTACTTTTTGAAGCAATTCCTTAATCTGACTTCCACTAAGTGTCTCATGTTCCAGAAGAGCATTTGCAAGCGCATGAAGCTCCTTATCGTGGATTGTCAGAATGGTTTTTGCATTGTTGTAAGCCCACTCTAGCACTTTCTTCACTTCTTTCAATAAGCAACCTAGTTTCCGGGTTCATGTTTCTCCTATCATCATGGTAATTGTGCATAACATGTCCAACTTCATCACTCATACCATATAATCTTGTAACCATTGCCGTAGCCATTTTAGTTGCCTTTGAAATATCAGAGTATGCACTAGAAGTAACTTCACTTTCTCCAAAAGCTCTTTTACCAAATGACCAGATAACTTTTGTAAACTGTCATCAGTGTGTATGCAATGTTGACAGAAATATCTGCCGTTACCAAGCATCAAAGAAACAAAAATCAAAACCTTTCTTTCCACTTTAAACACACCTTATTTTCCAACTACTCAAACAAGCTTGGCCTATTTGATGAACTCTGAACGACCAAGTATCTGTTTCCAATGAAAGAAAACTCTTGTACACATTCTAATCCCTTTTCTGAATATTATCTTGAATTTCCCCCCCATGAGCCACGACAATTTCAAAAAACTCAATCAATACAATTGAATAACAGAATGTAGTTTGATTAATGAAATGACTGACCTGCATCATTAAACACCTCCAAGCCATGTTACGGTTACCAATAGAACCGACTGTCCTGTTGAATCTCCGCACAGAGGTAACGTGTGTAATTAATGGTGTAATGAAAATGAAAGATCGAAAACACAACGCAAAGCAGAGGACAAGAATTGACTATCTAAATTCACAGCCCTCAAATCAAACAACATTGTTATTTGTTAATTCTTACCCTTAACCGTATATTTCTTTCACTCTTATTTTGAGGAAATACTTCTTTCACTTCTCTGCTGCAACTTTCTTTATTTTATTTCATATATTTTATGTTGGTACTTTTTCTGGTGATATCAAACATGTTAGTATAAAAATAAAACACTTTTTTTTAAGTAATTATTGATATTGTTAGTATAAAAGAGTTTTTTTTTTCAATAATAACAAATGCATTAACATAGAAAATAATTTTTTCTAACAATTATTAGTGTTGCTCGTAGGACTATCAAAATGTGTCAAAAAATTTGTTTGATCCAATTTATCTCAATTATTTTTTAAGTGAATTGACTCACTCATTAAAATGTTTAAAATTTTACAACTTAGTCTAACTATTGGTTCATTGATCAAACTTAATTTTTTTACAAAAAAAAAAATCTAATTTAAAATAACTTTCAATCAAAAAAATTATTAAACAAAATATTATGCATATAATATTAAACTTAATTAAAAAATATACAACTTTAAATAATAAAAAAAGTACAAAAAATAACTAAAAAAATTAAAAAAAAGTATGGAGCTTCAAATCACCTTAGTGCCACTAGAATTGAAAAAAAAACGCATGCAAAATAAGAAATAGCCTTTTCAGAATAAACAATTTAAAGATAAAAAATTAAATAGAGGCACACAAGTATTAACGAGGTTCGACAATATATGTATTCTTTTATCGTTAGACCTGCAACTCATATTTCTATTCTTAAAAACGTTTAACATTTGGAGGGAAGAAAAGGAGTCAATCTTCGAGATCCATCTTTTTGAATTAATTAATGACATAAAAAATATGTGGAGCCAATAAGATAAAATTGGTAAAAGATTAACGGGTAAATATATAAGATATGATATAAATCAATCATATTTATCATAAAGATTAATTGATAAAATAAGATTAAACATATATCTAATTATAATAATCTTTTGATATACTAAATAAATAAGATAAGAATATTATAGGATTTAACACCGTCTTGTAAAAGAGGAAATTGTGCCTCCTTTATATATACACACTAAATCTTTGTTTTATACTAGATACCAATACAAATAGTCTCCTATATATAAACACACCAAATCCTTCATTCTGTAACGAACAATTCTCCATTCCGAGTTTTCATATTTCAACCTCAATTTTATCCAAACACTATTTCAAGATCGATGAAGAACAAAAGTAAGAAGAGACCACGCACTCATAATAATGGGTCGTCTTCTTCTCTAAAATCACTTCCAAAAGACATGTTGGTGGAAGTGGTTGCGAGGGTAGCCTCCGATTCTGTCGATGACCTTCGCAGCATCAAAAAATGTTGCAAGGATTTTCTTGACGCTTCCGAAGATAAACATGTGTGGCAACAAGTTTCTTTGGACAAGTTTTCGTTAGTACAATGGCTTCCCAATCACAAAGCTTTGTCCTTCTTACAACGTTGCAAGGAAAGTGGAAATACTGAGATTTTGTACAGAGAAGCATTGCGAGAATTTTTTAGTTATCCAAATGGAAATATTAGTGCGTTGAAGATGGTTGCTAAAGAGGATCACATGGAAGCAAAATACGTATACGGTATGATCTTATTGTGCTCCCATGACGATAATTTGAGAAAAGAAGGACTCGAGTATATGCGATTTTTAAGGAAGTCAAAGTGTATTATAAAATGCAGGAATAATGTGAAAAAATTTGCGAATGATCTTGTTTGGAAAGGTAAAGAAATGTTGGTGCACAATGAAATCCCTCTATGCGGTTGCAAGAACACATGTAAAGGGTGGAGGTTGAAGAAAGGTGTTTGGCTGTTTTTAGATGATGATGAAGATGATATTAGTTTATGTGAAAATTGTAGATGGGATCACGAGGTAAATTTTTTTTATAGGTTATTCAATGTTTGCTAGTTCTATTCTCTTCAAATTATTGTATCAATTTCAATGCAAAATTCTGATGTTTGTACATACTTTATTTGGGAGAGTTTTTTTTTTTTAAGCAGCTTTATATTTTATTATTAGATTATCTGAAAAAATTACTTATTTATGTTTTAACTGTAATTCTTTTTTACCAACGATAATATCAACTAATACAAAATTATTCTAATTTACTCATAATACTATTCTTGATATATTTTTTTTATTTTCTACAAGATTTTTAAAAATATAAAATATAAATTTTTCTTCTTCCAAACTTCGATTGTGAAATCAATAAAAAGAAATCAAATGTTAAAAAAAGGTAAGGCGGTATACAAATAGGAAAATATAACAATTTTATTTTATTAATATAAAAATATAAAACTAAAAGAAATAAAAATAAATTAATCATAAATGATTATTTTTTGTAGAAATAATTTTTTTTGGATATTATTCGATTAAAACGTGTTTAGAGATTATTTTAACTCCTTAAATAATTTAATTTCTTTTTATTTTTCATATTCATTTATGAATTAAAATTTTAATATTTTTAAAATAAATTATCAATAACTAAAAATAATTTTGTGCCATAATATAAATTATTTATCTTAAATAAAAAATATAATTAATATGTTTAAAAAATTCTATCTAAAAATTTTAAGCATAATTTATGTTTAAATATATTATTTATTTATATATATAATTTATTGTAAAATTTAGTTATATATAATAAATATTTATACTTTGAAATGCATATGAAAAAATATTAGCATATATTAAATATAAGTGATTATTTTCTGTAAGAACTTTTTAGATATTATTTTTTATGTGAATATTTTTAGGATTTTTTGAACCTTTTATATTTAACTTGACATCATGTTATATATTTATTATATTTAACTAAAATTTATAATAAATTATATATAAAAAGAAATTTTATATTTAAATATATAAATCATATTAAAAATTTATATAAATAAATATTTTTAGACATATACCTTATACTTTATATTCATGATAAACAATTTATGCCGTAACACATTATTCTAGACATTTTTTTTATTTATTATATTTTTTATGAATTAAATTTAATATTTTTTAAATATTATCAATAATTAAAACAGTATTATATTGTAATATAAATTATTTATCAATGTTTAACTTTCCGTTTCCTCTGTTTAAATACTTAACAGATCTGATATGTATTATGAAACGTGACATGATGATGTTATGTTACGTGATATGATAACATAACACGTATCACTTTTATTAAGTATTTAAACAGAAGAAATAGGAAGTCAAATATTAACATACATTTTAAAAATATGAGATTAAATTAATTTAATTAATTAAAGTGAAACTAAATTAATACTAATAAATAATATAAAGAAAAAAAATTATATTTTTACCTTTATATTATTGATGTATTATGAATAAACCTAAAATATTTAACATGTGAATCGTGAAATATAATGTTTGTGGAATTCACGCGACTTGGGATGTAGATTACACGTGGATAAATAGTATAGAACAAAAGTATCTGTTGTCGATGAAAGGCCCGACCAGAGAGTCAAAATGGAATAACCAACCTTACCAGGTTTAGCAACTTTCATCGTTCCGTGTTTTTTATTTTCCCCCTTTCTTTTCTCTCTCCCACCACAAAGGGATAAGCCATGAAAGCGAAATAAATTACTCTTAAAGCATGATGGTTGTGTTCACCGTGGAGCAAAGTTTGTGACTTGGAAGCACCGTAGCAGCCAAAAGGATGAGCGCAGAGGATGATGACCCAGAAAGGAAAAAATTGAAAGCGTGGAATTATGGGGTGAAGACCTTCCAGCGCGATCTGATGGCAGGGGCGGTGATGGGTGGAGTGGTGCACACGATTGTGGCCCCAATTGAGAGGGCGAAGCTATTGCTGCAGACTCAGGAGAGCAATTTGGCGATTGTCGCGAGTGGGCGTCGCAGATTCAAGGGCATGTTTGATTGCATACTCCGTACGGTCAGAGAAGAAGGCATTCTCTCTTTGTGGCGTGGCAATGGCAGCAGTGTTCTTCGTTACTATCCTTCTGTGGCGCTCAATTTCTCTCTCAAGGTTACATTCCCTCTTCATTTCTATTCTCTGACTCTTTCGTTGTTATGCATCAGAATCAGATTCCTCACTTAGTTGCGTCCGCAGATTATTAATTTATTCGTTTCACCCCCGGTTGAGAGTTGAACTGGTATTGTTGAGTTAGGAGGAATCGTCAGCCTTTTTGTTGCTATAGTTTATCCTGTTGTTATCTTCTGTCTGTTTATGTGTCATATGGTTATTGTGAGGATTTGCATTCAAAGAGATTAGGAAAATACACGTTAGTCGGACATTGCTAGTACCCCACAGTTTAAAATTGCAAGGATATTATTTTAATTCATGAAATGACCAAACATTCATCATTTTAGTCCTTTTATTTTTTCTGCAATTTCAAGGATTAAAATGGTATTTTCTGTAATTTCAGAGATTAGATTGATTGGTGTCTGTTACTTTCATGGAATGAGTTGGTGTATTACTCAAAGAATATTGCAGCTATCCTAGTATTTTTACCTTCTATGTGTTGTGTCGGAAACAAAAACGGAGAACCCTGAAGGATGTCATATTGCAAATACCCTGCTACTTTTTGTGTTTCATGGAAATGGAGAATCCCTAACAATGCACATTATGCAATAGTTTGGAACTTATATTAATTGATGGTATGTTAGGATTCATTTGCTACATATAGGCCTTGAATCCCAAATTAAAAGCATGGGATTCATGTGTGGGGTTGACAAGGCCTTGGGTTCTCCAGCTATTATTGTCTAGCTTTTGTGGTGTGGTTCTCCTTAGGTTCCCATCAATTGGTCATAGAGCTTTTCACAATGTCTCTCAGATGTCAACAAATGGCATTGTTGGTGACACCGACATTGCAATGTTCACCCAAAACTATTTAAAGGGCTAGTGCACAGCCAGTTTGTTGGGTGCAAGGGTTATGTGGCATAGTGGAATGTTAGGACCCAATTGCAATGTTTGGGACTTGAGTCTCGCATTGGAAGTATAAGATTATAGAGTGGGGTTTATAAGGCCTTGGGCTTCTCAACTACACAACTAGCTTTTGTTTTATGGTTCTCCAAAGATTCTTATCATGGTTTTTCTTCCTCCCTTTCATATGGTATCAAGTCTGTATGGTTTTGTATGCTAGCTCCTACATCATCACATATGGCCTGATACGCTGAATGGAAAATGTCATGTCACATTTAGTTTATAAGATACTATCGTGACTTAAGCAGAAGGACAAAGAGAGATAAATCTGACAATTATGTATTGAAACACTGTTGTTTGGATCCTATTGGGTTTGGTTATTCCTGAAAAAATGGTTTTACATACTATTTGTATTAATAGGTCAGCTAGTTTCTCACTTCTCAACAGTAACCACATAATTACAATTGAATCAAATCAGTTTGCTTAAGTCTTGAATTCATAGAAACAATTTACCCAGAGCCTTTAAATTGGTGTGCAGGTATGTTATATCTTTCTGCAGACTCAATTTACCCGTCCATTTTGTTGGGTGTATACATTTTAATATTTGCCCTATTTAAACATTACAATATTATTTAAAGCAATGACAAAATTATATAGAGCAATTCTAAGCTATGATTCATTTAAAACTGTAATCTACCTCCATAGTTCATAACAATAAATAAACAAGCACAGTAATTTACTTCCACTGCATACTTCGCTCACTGTTATGTTGATTTAAGAGAACCCGTTTTTTGTTTTCTTCTATTGTTAACAGATTTCTCTCATTTATCAAGTTAACTGTTGACTGTTCCTCACTTGAACTGTTCCTTTCTTTTGGTTATTTCTGTTATCCATATATCCTCGTTGCCTACTACTGTTCTGTCCTTTATTACTCCAAGCACTTTTTACCAATATCCAGGAGCAAAATCCCTCAAATTGCAGATTCCGATTGGCAAATATTTTCCTGGCTGCAATATTCCTCTTGTATAATGTATAAGATGGATTTTGACAAATCCTGTTGACATAATGCGTAATGACTCAAGAAAGCGCTAGTATGCACATCTTTCACTCATTAAATGAAAAGGGGTCTTCCTTTTTTTCGGTTAAGTTCTTGTAATTCATTTTTCTATTTTCTTCCCACTGCAATATCAAAGCTGATTGTTGCTTTTGAATTTCCTGCCCTATCTCTATACAGAAGTCTGGCCTTACTCCGTAAAGAGAGTAAGAAGTAGAATGCAAACCTTTTAAGATGTGCCTTTTCTTACCTTTTGGATATTATCAAGGACTATCCATTGTTAATGAAAATGGTTTTTCTTTTATGTTTGCCTTTTTCTTGAAATGCATGATATTTTGATTGATGTTTCTGACTTTCTGCATTTTTAGCATTGAGACATAAATTCCTGTAGTAATTTGATTCAAGTCACTATCTCTTTTCTATCTTTTATTTTATTTAATGAAATTTCTTGTAAAAGAAAATAGAGCAAAATTTAAATACATTACCTTAGGTAATGTTGATGTTTTTCCCCAATTAAAATTAGTATTTAATCTCAATAACCACAGCTTCATCTTAACAACTAAAACCAGCTGCAATTGTTGTGATGAAATGTCAATTTTGATTGGAGAATAATATCAACATTACTTATAGTACTATATCTTAGTTTTGACCAAAAAAAAAAAAAAGCCAAACCTGTAATATATACTTAGGTCATGTCCAAAGGGAGAAAAAGGAATTGATGAATCCTGGGCTAGGCATCTGAGACTGAAACTGAAGAAATTTGCTTCTTTAGAAGCAACACAGACACTGTTCAGTCAATCAGATTTTTGTGAAAAATTCCAGAAAATTCTGTCTGAAGAAATTTCAGTTTTTTTCAGAAAATTTTCTAACCAAATGCACTGTACAGCTGCTGCTCTTGTTGAAGACCATGATAGAACTTCCTAATTAAGGCAATTATAGGGGTTCCAAACGAGGGCAGCATTTTTATGGCAAGTAGAAAAGAAAGGATTTAAGGGTGCCACTAAATAAATAATGGTCGTAGAATCTTAGTTAAAGGCAACGCATTAGTAAGGATGTGACTAACGTGATGTGGATGTGGCAAAACATGTGTCTTTATAATGTATTTTCTATGTCTAGAAGATGATCAGTCCAATTATTGACATGTGAATAAAAATGTGGGCTTTACAAGTGTGTTTTTGGTGTCCTAACCTAGGGTTGAGATGAATACGTGGAGTGCAATTAAGTGCTAAAAATATCTACCCCCAGCTATTACACTCTAGAATCAAGGTTAGTAATTAAATTTCCAAAGAACAGTTCTAACAATTTTTGTTAGCTTCGCTATTTTCTCCTTCCTTTCCCCCGTGATCCTTTATGTCTATCCTTTCATGACCATGTGTTGTGTGGTTCAAAGGTACTGGCAGAATATGCATTCAATGGAATATAACATGCAATATTAAAATAAGTGTTTTTGGTAGATTACGCATTGTAATATGCCAACTCAGAAATAAACTTTTTTTTCTCGAGGGAAAGATGACTGGCAGAACAACAAAAAGAATTACACATTTTGATATTTTTTTTGGTAGATGACACATTGTAATATGCCATCATGGTTGCAATATAACTTATGGAAGATTATAATCGAAGCTTAACATGTAATGTTACAGTTAATGCAAACTCTTGATATATTACGTATTTTGTTCAACAGGATCTTTACAGAAGCATGTTAAGAGATGGTGGAACCTATGGTGATAATAGTCTTTTGTCAGGTGCTACTGCTAATTTCGCTGCGGGGGCTGCTGCTGGCTGTACAACTCTTGTGCTGGTATACCCCCTTGATATAGCACACACACGCCTTGCTGCCGATATTGGAAAGACAGAAGTGCGCCAATTTCGAGGTATTTACCACTTCTTGGCTACCATATTTCACAAGGACGGCATTCGGGGGATCTATAGGGGCCTTCCTGCATCTCTACAAGGGATGGTGGTACACAGAGGCCTGTATTTTGGAGGCTTTGATACCATGAAAGAAATCTTGTCACAAGAACCAAAACCTGAGTTGGCACTGTGGAAGCGTTGGATGGTAGCTCAGGCAGTCACAACCTCTGCCGGGTTGATATCTTATCCCTTAGACACAGTTCGTAGGAGGATGATGATGCAGTCTGGCATGGAAAAGCCAGTGTACAATAGCACCCTGGACTGTTGGAGGAAGATTTATATGACAGAGGGGTTGGCTTCATTTTACCGTGGTGCAGTTTCAAATATGTTTAGGAGCACAGGAGCAGCAGCTATCTTAGTCTTGTATGATGAGGTCAAGAAATTTATGAACTGGGGGGCATTTTAACAGCACCAACGTTCATTGATTTCATTTTGACACCCGGGACTCAACTTAATACATCAACATCTTACATATTTTGAGGCATAGGATAATTTTGTAAAGCACAGATGAGCTCCATTACAGTTCATTCGCAAATGCGTCTTGAATGGCATTCCAACGACGCGATGGCCACGTTACTTTTGTGGCTTTTATACTAGTTTTCCTTTGCATTTTTTAAGACAGTGGAAGATCAGAAATTAGATACGAATTAATGATGAGAGGAGATTGGTAACAAAAGAAAAATTCCGGGTTTTTATTCTGCTTAAACACCTTACTATTCTTTGTCTAATTTTCAAATGCAAGGTGTAAAGCGCGAGGACCCTCTGGCAAAAGGTTATCTGAAATCGTTAGTGTGACAAGTGTGTGCATAACGTAACCAGATTTAGACTAGCCTGAAATCTGAAATTGTTGAAATGACAAGAAGCCACTAAATAGTGAGAATAACATAAAGCTATCAAAGGCAACACAAAGCCACCTTTGCGAAAAGGATAACAAAAGATTATTAATGAAACAGTAAGCCATTAATTGGTGGAATGATAACGAAAAAACCTTGTAAGTGGCGTAAAGTATCAAACTACAACGTGAGAACAGCGACATGCATGTGACTCGAAAATTGCTGGGCGGAAGGTGATTGAATTGGATAGGATAGTTAAGTTGTAAATTTAAGGGGAAATACCAAAATCTTCCTTATGGCTAGCTTAATATTTAAATTAACTCTAATTTAGAAATTTACGTTTCAATTTCTTGAAATTTTCAGTAAATTGCAACTCAAAATTTTCAAGCCAAGTGACTCAATCACGTCTATTTTGTTCATTCTTTTAACCCTGTGTGGCTAAGTTAAGATTTGTGCGTATGGTTAAGAAATGGACAATCTGTTTTACTAATTAACTTCTGTAAAAGTTAATTTCTTTTCTTATAATACTTTATTGATTAACCAGTCTTTCTTTGTTTTTCACTCTTATTTGTTTGAATACAGTAGCAACTAAATGGAAAAGCCTATAGACATAACAGCAAAGATGATTTTGTCTTTTCGCTTGAAAATGTTAATTTAAGCACTTTCTGTTTTAGTTGTAATTTAGTCAAAACTACAACGAGATGGAATATAAGTTTCTAAAGTACAAATAGTTAATTTGAATATTAAAAAATAATGAGTAGTTTTAGGTATTTAATCTTCTTTTATCACGTAGCGAAATAAAAATATATATGGGTAGAGGGATACGGCATTAAAACTCTTCAATCCAACAATTCGCAAGATTCCAAACAAGCCCAAGAAGCAACAAAGTTAAAATGATGTAAACAGAGTGAGATTACATAAAGGTGTTAAAGGCATTTGATATATCTAGCGTGCACAGGTTGTACACCTAAGTGACGCATTAAGCAAAACGACGAACATGCAGCCAAGAATTGCTTTGGAAGCAGAGTTAAGAAAATCCTCTAAACTTTTGAGAATTGGGGATATTTTTATGAAGCACAAAATTCCGATAGGCACAAAAAATCCATAAGCTGAGATATGCGTTTTGAGGGGAGCTTTAAAAAAAATATTAACAAGCAAATCAATATTAAATATTAATGATGATCCATTTGTATTTTATTTTAATATTATTATTTTATTCGTAATTATTTATATCTATAATTAGACTATTTTATTATTGAAAATAATATAAGAAGTTTTTCATACTCTCTCTTATGTTGTTCTCTCCATACTTTCTCCTTTTTATATATTGTTTTTATATTACAATTTATAGTTTAATGTTGATTTTCATAATACGTTATTAACATTATAATCTTTTTTTCATTGGTGTTGCAACTTGTAAATAGTAAGATAAAATTGTGAAGAATTTTCTTAAAGAAAATCATATTCCTCAAATTCATATTTCAAGATTAGCTATTTTGTTAAAATCATATACTATCTCTAATCATATTATTCACATCATGTATTTGATAGAATATTTGCATTGTTTATATGATTGTGAAATTTATTTAAATACAATTGGTCTTGAAGACAAAATCAAATAAAATAAATTAAAAGAATATTTTTACAATGGTCTAGATGTTATCAAATAATCACATTTTAAAAGAAAAGGTTGACTTATTTTTTTTAAAATAAAAGAAGGACGTAAATACTAAAGAGGTATGATTTTTTAAGAGAATATATGATTCCATTGCATGATTGTTAGTAGTTGATTTTAATTTTTTAGTTTATTTTTCTTGTGTCATTCAATTTTTAAAATCATAAAGTAAAGTATTATCAAGGTATGTTTTCTAAATATTTGTTTGTTTGTATAAAATATTTATTTTAAGATTATATACATTATTATTTTATAAAAATTAGTGTAGATTTTGATATTAAATTAGTGTCTAAAGATAGATTAAGGTAAATGTCACTTTTATAATAATTTTTTAATTTAAAAAATGTTTAAAAAATATACTATATTTTTCATACATCTATTGTACTCATCAAGAAGCAATTAAGAAATATCATAAATTGATTTATTGGCTATTGAAGACTAAACTAAATAATGATATTTTTTTATGCATATAACCATTTCAACTAACATCGTTTCATTCGTTGAAATAAATGTAACAATGTATTAATTTTTTTGTCTTATATTCAATAATGTGATAAGTTAATGTTAAGTAGTATATACGGTACTACAAAATAAAGGCTCCAAAAGACTTGATATATTGTTACCTAGAGAAACAAAATTATATATAAGTTTGATAGAAACTTATTAAGTTTCAAAGAAATTCGCTTAATTGTACCATATTAAAACATCAATCAAGGAAATGTAAAGTATCTTAAAATCAAAAGGCTTTACTTGAATAAGAAATATGTATTGGAAGAATTATTATTTTTCCTATGGTCTGTACTACACATTAGTACATCTAAAACACTTATTCTTGTATATTATAAGTGATGGAATCATGTCAAGGATGGCAAGAGATGACAAATTGAAGGACCCAAGAGGAATGGACTAAACATGAAGATTTAGCTCGTTTAGAGCTTGGTTGGCCCAAATTGCTCTTCACTTGAGTCACACATTGAGATGCCCAATTTGTACGTATTATAGTAGTATAAGTTTCATATATTGTGGTCTTGTATTTTAGGCCATATAGATTAGGATTTTTGTCCTTAGGCTTAGTGGGCCTATTTTCGAACTTAATGGACCTTGGATTTTTTGGTATCCAATATTGGACTCATTTTGCTTATTTTATTATTTCTTAGTATTTGTGATAGGTTGGCCATTAGCATAAGATTAAGGCTTAATTAGAGTAGTTAGTTAATTAAGTCAAATTTAGGTTCATTTAGGTTGTATTTGGAGCACATGTGCATTAGCCAAGGGAGCTACACATGGATGCCACCAAATGACACTCAAATGAACCCTATATTAGGCCTAATTAACCAACAAATGTGATTGCACATGGCTAGAGTGCATTTGGATGAAAATTGAATTCACTTGTAGTGGATGTAAATATTTCTCTATACTAAATCAGTCAGATTATACATAAAGAACTCAATTTAATTCTAATGTATGTTACAACCATTTTCATGGCTCACTTGATAATGAAGTTTATGTGAAAATCCTTGAAATATTTAATTAATATATCCAAGACATTGGTACAAGTTTTTGAGAAGATTATATCACCACTCCTTCAAAAATCATAAATAAAAAAGAACTTAGGAAAAATATATTTTTTTTCCATCTTTGTTATTGCATTCTTCTTTCAACTAAGTTGCTCTTGTGTATGACCACCACATGTAAACAAACACTTTGTTTGCTTATGTGAGAATCAAATATATCTCTTTACAAAATCATTCACAAGTACAATTTTTGAACAATTGATACATAGAATTAGTTTTCTTATTCTTAAAGATGATGGTTAGCATGAGCGGGAGACATTCTACATTATTTTCCCCTTCGTCATGGCTTTGTACCATTGGATTGTCCTGACAGTTTTTAATGAAGTAGTACATAATACCATATTAAAAAATGATGTACTATTTTTCTTTCATTAGATTTTTGTCCCATAGGATCTTTCCTAGTAAGATTTTAATGGAGTACATTCTCAAATAATAGACATTCAAGGAAGAGTGTTATGAGTATTTAATAGTAGTTATCCATTACTACCATTTATATTTCATCTTAATATTATTGTTTTATTTGTAATCATTTATGTTTATAAATAAATTATCTCATTGTTAGAATTAATATAAAAAAAAAACTTGTTATTCTCTTCCTTATGTTGTTCTCTCTATACTCTCTCATTTCTCTTTATTACTTCTATATTACAATAGTTTTATGTTGATTTTCATAACATAACATTATAGTTATTAAAGAAATAATTTAGTTGAAATATATTGTGTGTATGTGTGATATTAGGTCTAGCAAAGATATTAAATATTTTAATTCTCGACTTACTCCATTTTCACATATACAATTTAACTTATTAAATTTAAACTAAAACTAAAACTGAAAATATACATACAAACAGGTTGAAGACAAATCAATCAAACGCAATTGCTTGTATGAAGTCTTCTTATGCATGTATATATTGTTATATATATGTAACCTTCAAATTAGAGTATAATAATAATAAATGTGTTTGAAAGGTGATAATTGAGCATTGTTGAGTTTGCACGATTAATGTTAACTTTAAAATAACATTCACTTTTTATGAAATGCATTGAACCATGTATTCATGTTACCCAAAAATATACATTATATTGTGTACCCATGTAAGAAAAAGAGTTAATGTAAATATTTAAAAAACAAAAGTTAAAATACTTTTTTAGTTACTATTGTTTTACTTATTTTATTTTTTAGTCTTTATATTTTAAAATAAATCTTGTTAATTTATATATTTATTTTTTTCAATCGTTTTTAATTTTTATATTTTAAAATGGATCTTTTTAATCTTTATACTTGCATATTTTTTAATCATTTTAGTTCTTGTCGTTAATTCTTTTTATTACATTGTTTATTTTATGTTAATATGACAGAAAGTTCTTCAGGTGATCATTTTGATTATATTTACCTAGAGGACGAAATGAGATGAAAAAGTATAAGGGAGAGGTGGGAATTCCATAAAGAGTCTAAATTAACATGAATAAAGTTAAAATAAATATTACACCCCTCTTGGTGTTACGTACATAACAATAAAATAATTAAAGAGGCTTTTTGATATGTTGGAGTATGTTACTATGTTTTAAGAAGAGAGTGTAATACCTAAAAGCTAAAGCCCAAGCATTATGGAGCATTTGATTATGACTTCAGCTGCCTAAAGCAAATGTGCAATGCCTATTGCCATTTTCACGTTGGCTGCCTAATTGTGTTTATATATAACCATACTTGCATTTAAAAACCTTACATTTTGTCTTCAATAATGTGGCTTCTCCAATTCCTTACTTGTGTATGGAAATAGAATCATTATGCTTACGTGAGGCTCTAAGATTCTAATAAGATCCGTCATTTTTTTTAATCAAAAACCACGGCATGCTTGCCACGTCTGATTTTGCATTATAGAAAGCAAAAAATTTAGAAAGTGAAAGACGCACTCACTCACTCTTGGATTGTCGCTGTAGTTAGTTGTAGTTGTAGTGGTTGATGTTGTTGATGTCATCACCTTCTGTCTTTTCCCAACTCAAAGGAGAAATAATTGGGTCACATAATCACATAGTGGGGGGAAATGGGGTTTGAATTTAGGACACTTGCCCTTAATTATCACTTCTATGCCTCCCTTTCCTTAATTGGGAAAAGATCCTACCACGCTTTCTTTGTTTTTCTAAATTAGTTGCCTCTGTTTGAAACCATCCCAATATCATGTTGAGCTATTGATGTTTCTTAATATTTTTCCCTCCATGTCAATTAAAATTTCTTAAACAATTCGTTTTCATAGTACTTTTTTCTGCCGAATATTTGTATGTCTAAATAACTAGTTTGAACCGGATGTTGTGCTTATCAAATAATAAACCTGTACCAATGTGGAATATGTTTATATATGTAGTAGTATTTCGAAAACAAGAAGAAAGGTGGTTGCTAGGAATTTATCTCTTTTGTTTTAGTGTCTCTTTGAGTTGTACTTTGTAGTTGAGTGCAATGGTGATTCTTGTTAAATGGAAAGTTGTGTTTTAAACATGAAACTTAAGATCGAAGCTTATTAGTTAGGTTTATGGTGGTAAAAACGAAGGATGCCAATCTGGTATGACGCATTGGCTTGCCTATTGGTATGATGTCAATGATTTGATACAATCATCCTCACCATTGTTTTAGCTTTGAATCTATTTATGCCTTTTACTTTTGTACAAATTGAAACAATGTTTTGTATAATGTAATGGTTATTTTGCATAGCTCATTAGATTAGTTTTTAACTAAGGTTCTGGCAAAAAAAAAAAAATGAGAAGAAAGATTCTACCATTCAAAAAAAGAAAGTTAATTGTTTTTAAAGAAAAGGTCATTTAAACGATGCAGTCAAAAAAGACTAAGGGTTACAAGAGAATATTTTACCAAAACAAAGATAATAAGCGCGATTCCTTTTGTTCTGAATACTAGTATCTTTTAACTTTTTTAGATATAAAAATTATTAACCATTTCATTTCATTTCTTCTTATAGTCATTGAAAACATATCAAATCCTTCTTATATATATGTAATGAATTTTGGGGCGTGGGATTAAAGTAGCCTATTGATTGATTTCGATTAGAGTGCATTAACACAGGGAATTGAAGAAGCCGAGTGTGAAGCTAGCTAGCGCAGCAGACGAGGAAAGAAAAAAAGGCGATTGAGTAGGATTGCAAGCACATAGTAGATAATTTGTTTGCAATAATTGGAGGTGCATGGCAACGTTGATTCATGATCATGTGTTTTTTTGAAAGTAGTTACTTTAGGTTTTGAGAAGTCATGTTCCTTAACGACTTAAGCCCAGATGGGACAAGCAAAGTGAAAAAGGGTACCCTGATCCCTCATGATCACTTGGCATTACTATTGTGGTTGAATGAAAGAAAATCAAAAATGAAGAAAACGATGAAAGTAGTAGTAGGGGTATATAAAACAAAAGTGGCATAATTTAAAGGCGGAAAATAACAAGAAATTTAGAGAGAAGGAATAGATAAGCTTAGGATTCCCGAAAGAAAGTGAGTGGCCTACGGTCTGGATTGCATGATAATGGTGATTGGTGAATGGGACCCCACCCCTTGAATCCACTAAGCAGCAAGCTTAAGCGCGTTATTATTAGTATCATTTATGAAGCCATGCCATTCCTCCTCACCTAAATTATCTTCTATCTGTTTATACCGGTTTCAATAACAACACAAATTGGGATTCATTCACAAAATAAAACCCTAAATTATACAATTAGTAATGTTTGTTTTGGAAACAATAATAGCTAGGTGGGGGTGGGGGTGGGGGTAGGGTAGCATATATATATATGAATTAATTAAAGGGAGGAATATATATAGATATATATATGATATGTATAGTATAGTGGTGATACTCATACCCAGAGAGCGCCGACTTGGACGAGTTTGGGGATGAGGTGGCCGGTGACGTGGAGGGCGACGAGGGACTCAAGGCCGCCGATGCAGGTGCCGCCGATGAAGGCGGCAGGGGCGGTGGTGTCGGAGAGAGGAAGGGCAGCGATCTCGTTGTCGTCTAATTCGATGACGGTGGGGTGGACGCCGATGGTGGCGAGGAGCTTCTTCATGACGTGGCACATGCAGCAGGAGGATCGGGTGAAGATGATGACGGGATGCTCCGATATGAGGCGTTGGATTCTGGTCTCCGTTGACTCGTCGAGCTCCATGGATAGGGAAGAGGAGGAGTTGGTGATAGTCATAGTGATGGCAGTCACCTCCCCTACGACGTCGTTTATGCCTTGCATCCTTCTTCCTTCTTCCTTCTTCCAAAGTGAAACTAAGAAACTCTAGTGGAGTATAGATAGGTGGAAGTGGAACCCAGGTTCAGGGACTTTTTTATTTTATTTATAAATCAAATGCTTGCTTACATCACAAACTACTCTTTCTCTTTCTCATTTTCCACAATCGCCTTACCCCACGCGCCATTCTTCTCTCCTTTTTTTCTACATCTACGTCTACATCAAATACAAATACTAATACTAATACTAATACTTCTTTTTTAGATTGAAATCATCTTAATTAAACTCCTATCAGAACAAGCTTTAAAGTATGGGAATCTTAATTTAATGTTTAGTTTTTCATATGTATGGGTTACGCAATTTGGATTCGTCAAAGAAAGAGATTCGACTTTTGTTTGTGTTAAAGTGTAGTGATCCCTCTCTATATAAAACAAGCCATGCTTTATTTATTAGTTCTAAATATCAATGTTTAAGAAGATGCAGCGCATAGCCATATTGTAGGTAGACATGTGTGTTTTTTCTTTAGCTATATATCGCCAAACATCAACTTCGATTGATACATATGTGGATACGAGATCTTTAGACTCCGATCGCAGTCGCAGTGGTTTTGTTACGCTTTATCAAGGACCAGGACCAGCTGCTACACTGGTGTGGGGGCCAGAGCCACCAGGGCGCGTGCCCACGCAATTTACCCTTGTTTAGGGACACCGGATATTTTGGGACTTAAATCCACAATAATTAATCATTTCAATCTCTTCATCATTTTTATTTTAACAATTCTTTTAATTATTAATTTATTCCTCATTCTTAGTTTTGTTTTAATAAAGTTTAGTTAATATTTAACTTAACTACATTTTTATCCTTCAAATATTGAATTCTGCCATTTTAGTTTTTAATCTTCTAATCATGGTTGTCAAACTCGCGAGTCAACTCGTAAACTCGAGTTTATGAGTCTAGGATAACAAAACGGGTTAACTCGTGAATAGATTCGTTTTTTGTTAGACTCAGGCTGACTCGGGTAGACTCGGTCAGACTCGCGAGTCTGATGCCGAGTCCACGAGTCTAGTTAGGTTTTTTTTTCACCCCTAAATGCCCCAAAACGACGTCGTTTTAGCTAAGGTTAGTAAGTGAGAATGGCATTTTTCCCTTCGCGCACGATGCCTCCACCATTCTCGCGAGTCTGATCTGATTTCTCTCCCTCCGCCGCATACAAATGCTCATCTCCACCGGGTACAAACGCGCATCTCCTCTGCGTACGAACGTCGCCGCATACAAACGTGCATCCTCTTGCTGGGAGAGGAACGAGTCCAGTTAGGAAGGAAGCTCGCGAGTCTGATTTCTCTCCCTCCGCCGCATACGAACGCGCATCTCTGCCGCATACGAACGCACTTTCCGTCATTGCAGCTTCCGGCGTCGTCGTTGCAGCTTCCAGCACCGTCATCGTAGCTTCCGGCGTCATCCCTACAGTTTCCAACGAACACCCACCAGTCACCGTCGTTGTGGTGATTGATAAATTTAGATCTTGTTTTATGTTTTTGATTTGTGGACTTATGTGTTTTCGACTTTTGGTTATTCATGTATGGTTAGGATTTGTATTATGATATTTTATTGTTGTTATTTGACTTATTTCAGACTTAGAATGTTGAAATAGTGATATTATATTGTGTGTGTTCATGTTTTTTAATATCTTTTAATATTAGGTAGACTCTTTCGAATCTACGAGTCGAGTCTACGAGAGTTCCACGAGTTTGTGTAGACTCTCGAGTTTGACAACCTTACTTCTAATTGACCAATTTTATTTTCTTTGAGTATCATCATTATGACATTTTGATTCTCTAGATTTTAATTAGAAAATTTTAATTTTTAAATATTACAATTTTATAATTTTAGTCATTCAAGTATCATAATTATATATTTTTATTTATTAAAATTATATATATTATAATTTTTTATTCATATATCAAATAATATATATATATATATATATTAATTATTACTAAATTTATATATATATATATATATATATATTTTACATAATATCTTGATAAAAATAGATAAAAGTTATATAATTATAATACTTGAACAATCAAAATCATAATATTTTGATAAATTAAATTAATTTATATTTAAAAAATATATTTCCCTTACTTAAAAAAGGCAAAATTTAAATTATTGAATGAAAAAATTCTCTCATCTAACATGTCTAGTGGTTTGCAAAACATAAATTCCAATGAAAAGTAAAAGCTAAGACTTCACATTTTCTTATCCAGACAATATTGATATGTGATCCATTTAATTTTAATTATTTAATAAAAATTACTAACGTGATACATTAATGATGATGTGACAATCTAATATGTATTTATTATATGATAATGACATGTTTAAATGATAATAAAAATCAAAATTGCATAATCATACGAGTTAAAATAGTATAATTAATTTTATCAAACTTTTCTTTTGTTTTATTTTATGTCTTTTTATCCATTTTTAAAATATTATATTAAAATTTTAAATTCAAATAGTGTTCATAAATAAATGAAAATACAAAAAAAAAAGAAAAAAACTATTCAAAATAAAATAAAAATAAAAATAAATATAAAAAAGGAAAGAAATACAACATATTATGGTGACATCACCCATAATATGAACCATCATGTCATCGTCAACCATGCACCTAGCACAGTAAAAAGACTTTGTGTCTTATGATGATCATGGTAAATACTAAATATAATGTGTTGTTTATGAGGCCAATGGATGAAATGTTGAAACACAATGACTATGGAGCTAGGTTTGGATGATGATACGAAATAAATGTTAATGATGTGCTTTTATTTATCGATTTAAATTATGATGATGATAGGATTGATGAAAATTGATTTGTAGTTTCAGGCTTCTTCGTAGGTGAGGACGGGTCATGCATTAGCTGGGTTGTTAGTTCACTAGAATGAGATGATAAGAAGAAGATGAGTTCATGCCGCCGGTTCACCAAATATCATATTTTAGATTTTTTTTTAAATTCTATATATTACTATGACTTAAATATGTTTAGTCAATATAAAAAAAGAAATTAATAAATCTTTTTTTATTATTATTTCTTAAAATTTTGAAATATTTTATTTTAATCTTTATTATTATTTATATATTTGTCAGAAGGTTATGTGATTATTTTAACTGACATTTATAATCGTCAGTGATACTTGATCAACATATAATTCTTTTAATTTTTAAATTTTTTAAAAATAAATATTATTTATTATCTTAAAATCAATGTTAGGGTTAAAAATAATAATTTTAAATTTTAAAAAATATGTTTTATTTATCGTTATAGTTGAAAAAATGTTCTCGAGAGAAAAGAGTTATTAAAGATTGTTAATCAATTTTTTTTTATAAAAATAAATCATCAAAAATTAATAAATAATTAACATTAATAATATAATTATAAAAAATAAAAATAAAAAAATTAAAAGACAAAATTAACCATTTAATTTTGGTCATAAAAATATTATATATATATATATATATAATCTATTTTCGTGTCAACATATTCATCACTTCCATGTTACACATACATGTTAAAATGTGATGACGATTGTTATATTAACGTGTTAGCATTACATTAGTTTTTTTTTTAAATGTTAATTAAAAAATGTGGAGATCACATGAGAAATAAATTTACTTAATAATTGAATTTTAAAAAAATAGAGCGATTTCAGTTTTAAAAATAAAATAATGATTTATATTCTTTTATGGGTTCTTATTTTTCCATAGACCAAGATGACTATCAGGTTCTACATGGCGTGGTGACGTGACATTGATTTGGACGTGGAATCGTGTGATACTGAAGTGTGACGTCACTAAAAGCTAATCCTTAGAGTGTGTAGTAAAAATGTGTGTGGAACGGAGGGACTTAAATTTTTTGGTCGTCATCGTGTTATTCCAGTGCGACACGTTTATGAGTCCCTTCTGGCGTGTGGGTATACGGACCGGTCCGGCCCGTTTAAGACCCGGTCTGTAAAATCCGTATTTTATATGGGTCGGATAAGTCCGGTCCGTAAAATAAATGGACTTATTTTTTAAGTCCGTATCCGGCCCGCCAAAATCCGCGGATAACGGACCGGTCCGCGGGCCTAAATAATGGTTCAAAAAAATAAATTTTTTAAAAATAAAAATACATAAAATTAGAAGAAAAAAATATTTTTTATTTATAAGCTAAATTTTATCATACTAAAATTTATCAATAGTTAAAATGGTTTAAAATACTAAATATTAAAATATTAAAATAAATAATTACAAATACTTAAATAATAGTAGCAAACTTTCAATAATAAAAGTATTAAAATGTCATAAAAATCATTCAAATGACAAATATATACCAACTAAATATAATTTTAATGTCATAATAATTATAATATTTAAAAATATTAAATGTGAAGTCTGCGGACTAGCCCGCGAGCCCGCGGATTAAATCCGCCAAGTCCACGGACTTAACGGGCCGGGCTAAAAAATTAGACATAATCATACAGATTTGATAAAAATGGGTCCGTTATCCGCAAAATTCGTGGACTTACAGACCAGTCCGCGAACCCAGGTCCATCTACCCACCCCTACTTCTGGCAGGTAGGTTAATGCCACCTCCCAAGCTCATGATATGGCCGAGGGAGGTAAAAACCGTCAACTTGCTCACTGTCGACCCTACCATTCATCAATATTAAAAAAATATCCTACAGGACTCCTCATGAGTTTTGCATTTTTACTTTTGGTTATATCTTTTATTAATTTCTTGTGTGTTAAATTTAATCTGTATTTTATTTATAATAACTAATAAGTATTAAATGTATTTTATATTTTTGTAGAGATTAAATATTTTATCTTTGTTTAATATTATTTCATATGATACTACTGTGATTTACATAAAATAAAAATGTAGTAGAAAGCTTTAACATTACTCTTTAATCTATACCATATATTTACTTTCACATGATTAACGTACAGAAATAAATACATATTTAAATATACTTTATGATATAAATATAAATTTTATTAAAAAAAATATATGTTACTGTTCTATAATAGATGATAGTTAGAAAAAAAAAACTTTAGTTATCGTTCAAATTCAAA